TGCTGCTACTCTGTTTATTATCTACGCATAGTCATTTTAACTCTACCCACATGTACATATTACCTCAATTACCTCGACTAACTGGTGCCCCCGCACATTGACTCTGTATCGGTACCCCCTGTATATAGCCTCCCTACTGTTATTTTATTTTACTGCTGCTCTTTAATTATTTGTTGGTTAAGGGCTTGTAAGTAAGCATTTCACTGTAAGGTCTACACCTGTTGTATTCGGCGCATGTGGCAAATATAATTTGATTTGATTTGATTTGACTGGCAGATGGTGAAGAGTGATTCATCACTCCAGAGAAAGCGTTTCCACTGCTCCAGAGTCCAATGGCGGCGAGCTTTACACCACTCCAGCCAATACTTGGCATTGCGCATGGTGATCTTAGGCTTGCGTGCAGCTGCTTGGCCATGGAAACCCATTTCATGAAGCTCCCGACGAACAGTTCTTGTGCCGACGTTGCTTCCAGAGGCAGTTTGGAACTCTGTAGTGAGTGTTGCAACCGAGGATGACAATTTTTTATGCGCTGCGCGCTTCAGCACTCCTAGATGTTTCCACTTCACAATAACAGCACTTACATTTGACTGGGGTAGCTCTAGCAGGGAAGACATTTTACAAACTGACTTGTTGGAAAGGTGGCATCCTATGACGGTGCCAAGTTGAAAGTCCCTGAGCTCTTCAATACGTGCATTGTTTGTCTATAGAGATTGCACAGCTGTGTGCTCGATTTTATACACCTGTCAGCAACAGGTGTGGCTGAAATAGCCGAATCTACTTTTGGCCATGTCGGGTATGTTACGAATTACAAGGTTAGCTAACATGCTAAGTAGTTGCAAAGTAGCTAAAAAGTAGTAAGTATTGGCAAAGTTGCAAATTACTTAAAATGTTGTCTGTGATGAGATTCGAACAAGCAACCTTTGGGTTACTAGAAGTTATACACCTACCTTTCCACCCACCCTACTTTTGTTTATGTCTTAAGTAACCCGTCTTATCTAACCATACCAAACGTAACATATCATACTAATTTGAGTGTCCTGGATTTACGTTTACTATGTTACATCTAGTCTATGAGACCAGGCTGCTTGTGTGGGTGGCAAATGTGTGTTACCATTGGGCTTTTTTCCCTTTTATTATCCACATGGTGAGTCAGGTATATGTAGTCCAGTTCTAGCCTAACACTAATGGCAGTTGAACAGACTGAGCATTCTATAGTATGTTTCACTTCCCCATCTCACTTCGCTCAAATAACATGTCAGGAACACTGAGGTTAATTCGTAGCATGACCAATACCATACAGGTTGATCAACAGCATCGTGATTACAATCGGTGATATTTCCATATTGCAAAAGTTTTGCATTATTTGAGTAAAGCATAGTGACAAATATTGCACCAGAGCTCGCACCGCACAATCATGGAAAATTGCCCTGTTAAGAATCAGAATGACCATAAGTATAAAGCTTCTTGTATTGGGAAACTCATATCCATTCTGTTGCATTGAATATTGTATCACTGTTGAATATTGTATCACCAGAGCACTCACAGTATAGCCGGAGGTTAAACTAGGAGGAAAGGAAATGGAAAATAGTTCTACCAGCATGGTGGCAGACAGCACACAGTGGGAATCAAATAGATTTCTGATTTTAAAAAGTTATGGGAAAACAACCTAACTGGAAACAGTTCCACTACATGTTAAAATCCCAATTTAAAACTCATGGTATTGCTATTTACAAAGAGACTAGTTATTTCCTTCATTTAGTGCCATCACATTTTGAGTCCAATATGTTTCTCCTGCTCTTCTCAGTTTGAGACGTTTATAAAAATGTACATATCTGCTATTGATATTTCATTTTTGTTAAGCAACCCTACTACCCCAATGCCCTCATGTTAACTTCTCAGAAGAAAAAAAACATAACATGTATGACTGATCTCATGACAACAATACATTCTGGGTCACATGGCCTTGACTCATAACCACAATGACGACACAAGCATACGGTATGCTATTTTAAAGGGCATAGTGATAAATCAGTCTTTCGTAAATGGGGATATTTACAGTATTACAATCAAGGGGGTTTGGGGGGCTTCGCTTGTGAATTAATGTTTGAGACCCCACACGGCAGCCATCTTTGATTTTTTTAAAAAAACAATTTGGGACCGCTGTACCTACTATATATATATATACACTTGAGACGACGGAGCACGTTGTTGTGGTCGAACACATCTCATGTTAAGCCATGAAAATCATAGACCATTACAATGTTCAGGCAAAAATTCACAAAACTACTGCAGCAAGGAACTTCAAAAGAAAAACAGTTGTGTATCACTTCATTTTTGTCTTTAAACATAAACTTGACATATTTGCATGCTGCCTCTAACTTTGATCTGCCACCATCAGTGACTAGAATTGCTTAGTTCATAATGCATAAGCTTTCAAATCTTTCCTATTTTTTGTTGTCGAGTGCACCTAGAGAGTTAACTCCACCACTAAAGATCCTTTGATTGTCCTAGCAGAGGAGATAGACACGGTAGTTGTGAGACAGTAGGACCTCTACACTGGGCATGTCAGAAAGACAATACTTTCAGAGATACACACACACAGTTAATGAGCAACATTTGGAACAGTTCAGATAAAATGTCATTGCAGGACACTTACTTGAGCTTTAAACATTTTACTTGGAAAGGCACAAACTATGATTTCCTGGTAAATTATTCTGATGTAGAAATAAAACTGAAAGATATCTTGTTTCATGTAAATTGACATTTCGGCCTTACTCAGCTATACACTGAGTGTACAAAACATTATGAACACCTGCTATTTCCATGACATAGACTGACCAGGTGAACGCTATGATCCCTTATTAATGTCACTTGTTAAATCCACTTAAATCAGTGTAGATGAAGGGGAGGAGACAGGTTAAATAAGGATTTATTCTGAGGACAAAATTGGCACCCAATTTGACATGCCCTTATTGTGGGGTACAACTCAATATTAGGAAGGTGTTCTTAATGTTTTGTACAGTCAGTGTTAGCCTTGTATAGGACTCTTCCTAGATCAGTCTTTAGTTGTTTTCTTGTTTGTTAATTTCAAACCTAGAATTCCATTGCACTTTCTTTTTGTTTCCAAAAGTGCAATAAGAAGAAGAGAGCTTAATATCTGTTTCTCTCAATCTTCCACAGTACCTGAGGCCAGTGACTGTGCTACAAAGTCCACATTGACAGACATGAAAGCCAGAGCAAAAAAATATCCTAAATGAATTCCAGTACACTACAACAAACATTTGTTTTCAATCCAGGGAGTTGACTTTGAAAACAACAGAGGATAAAAATAAAAAATAAACTCAAAACATAAAAATCCTCCAATTCTGGTATAGATGAAGTGTTTCCTGTTGCGCTCAGTGACTCCAGAGTTATCATTAGTATAGTTCAGTCTTGCTTCTTACCTTGATCCCACAAATAAAGGACTATTTCTATGGAACAGATTTCTTTCACTCGACTCATTGACAGTTCCCTCAGATCAATGGCTGTTGATCAGTAAATGCTCTGTATGGAATCTAGAATACAACAACTGTTTCAAACAGTATCTTTTTTTAATATTCACGCCACGGTATTCGCGTTTCGTTGTTACAGCTTTTAACGTTCTCTCTTTATTATGCAGGTACTTTAACGGTTTCTTTATTTATTTTCTTTTAGGAGCCAGAGTCTGTTGTGAAGCCCACAAAGTCTGAAGGACAACAACATTCCTTTACACGCATGTAGCAGGAGAGCGCTGAGAGAGATAGAGAAGAGAGAGGGAAAGAAAGAGAGAGATTGGGAAAGGGAGATAGGATGGGTGATCTGTGTAGTTGCTTCCATTTAAAACTTGAAAGTGACCAGAATGTTTCAAGTTCCCTCCGAGGTCTTCTCCTCACTTCACTTGTGCCGCTGGAGGGTTTTCCTCTTTCTCCTTTTGAAGAAACAACAGCACCTGCAGGCAAGGACATACTCTCATTTAGTTCCAAAAGGAAATTAATGTTGCATATTAAAAAATTCAATGTTAAAAACTAAAAAAGGCTTAACTGAACATTAGAGGCCTTAAACATGTAAAACCTGTAAAAAAAAATAAATTTAAAACAGTGTTTTGAATTAATGGGTTCAGAAACCATTTGACAGTGTGTTTCTTGCAATGACTGCCAGAGGTAGTGAGACAGAGCAGAGCATGGCAAGCCACTGCCAGTCAACCCCAGGGACAGACAGCTATCTTACTTTGTATCATCAGCCACCTCCACCTCAGTGGGAGCAGTGATGGGAGCGTTGGAGTGTCCTGCCGTCGGGTCGTCAGTGTTCAGCTCTCCATTTGCCGAGCTCATCACCTGTACAGGTGAAGACAAGGAATTCAGACAGGATGTCTGTGCACGTTTTTAGAATACATGGTAAAATCATGACTAATTATCTGTAATTTATCCTTGATATGAAATGAGAAATTGAAGCATTAGCTTATAACTCTTACCCTTGACCACATTACATTGTAAAAGAGCTGGCAAGAAAGGCTTTTCACTGTACTTGTGCACGTGACATTAAAACTTGAAATGGATCTACTAGTTGGTAAAAATACGTCATTTTTTCAAAGGGTGCAATTCCCTTCCAAAACACTAGATGGCACATTTGCTCAAAACATAATTCTCAAAGTTTAATCATCTGAGACGGCAGACTGTACATCACTTTAAGCAAGTCATAATTGCACCATAAAGGACTATAGATGTGAAATATCCACTTCGGAGTTTATGTTTTCATGTGAAGGGTGTAGCTAACAGATACAAATTAAATAAATAAAAAACCAGGCATCTTCTGAGCTGCTGTTGCCCCGTCATCCCTTTAAGGTTGAGTCTGTGCCGAGACAGTACATGCTCAATCAGATCCTATATCACACCCTTTTCCAGGGAGAGGGGAGGGGGGTTCCTGTCCTGATAATGGCTTCAATGACCGCAGGGTTCCCCTGACTGTGCTTCCCTCCCCTGTTATCAGCCTGGATAAATGAAGCAGAGCAGGCAGACAGACAAACACAGACAGAGAGAGAAAGCTGGAGTGGACAGACACAGCCATGCAGCACCATGTGCAGCAAGCAGTACCTGGACAGAGCCCCCCAGCCTTTCGGCCACGAGATGTGACCCCAGTGTCTCCGTATTGGTCATTGGAGACAGCTGACGCTGAGCCTCATCTCCTTTGGCATCAGGCAACTGACGGGGGGTGGGGTTTGTTATGGGGGGCGGGTTATGGGGGGCAGGAGTCAAGAGGTGGGAGGTAATGTGGTGGGTGGTGGTGGGAACAAAAACAAACAGAAATAAATACAGAAGACATGTCACAAGCAGAAGCAGGCTTGTTAAAACTATGTTCATAACAGAAGGAAAATAGAGCACAACATAAAGCAGAGCCAACTGACTAATGCAAGAGTGAAAACAGCCTTGATCGGAAAAACCCTAAGCATCTTGGCTTTTATTCCAACATCTATATTTTCTATTGATCTGACTGAATTAGTTAATCATTGTTCCGATTCTATTCCTGGTTTCTGCAATAAAATCTGTGATTGTTTGTGTTATGCAACGTGTTGCATGTTTATGTTCATAAATGATGATATGTTCTACTCATTACATTGTTCTGGAGAGCCATAAATACAGGCCAGAGTCCACAGCAATCATAAAACCTTATGCACTTTGTCTTAGAGAACAAGATTAAGACTAATAAAGTCAAATGAATCATTGTGAATTGGCAAAAATGTAAACAATGTGTCATGTTGGTGACATTGTAGTAGGACCAAGGCTCAAATAGCATGCTGATAGAACAAGGAACGGAAAAGAAAGCAATTTTGCCACACACTAAGCAAACTGCTTTGTCATTGCTGATGTGAACAATGCATTTTCAACTCATGCATGAAATGACTAGTTCTTAGGAAGGCAGGCTGAAGACAAAACCCTCCAATGCTAAAACAGTTCAACTTTCAAAGATGTTGCTACAACATTTAAGTACAATTATAATAGGTTCATCAGTTCCCCATCTTTCTTGCTCAATCGCCACAACAGAGTAAAGAGTAGATTGAAGAGGTTGGAGTGGACAAAGGTGACATTGTAAAAGAGGCCGTATTCTTGAGGAAGTGGAGATTAGGACAGGAGGCTTGGCGGTTGCCTCTGAGACACGAAAACTCGACTGACGAGGTGGGTGGGTGTGGCGGGCGGCGGTGAGCTCACCTGGTTTTTGGTCTGCTGTTGTGCTTTGTCTCTGCTGGGCTGAGCGAGTGTGTCACTGGGGATGGGGCCTACCGGTGTGGGCTATGGTGGGGGACAAAATGACAGCATTTTACCTAGGCCATCAAAATCATTGCTGTGAATACTTTACACTCACCACAACCTGAAGATATTAATATATTATATAATAAAAAAGGCCCTTGAATCGCTGAGACATCACAGGAAATCTCAATTTTGATCCCATATGTGATTATTTACAGAAAAAGACTAACGAAAGTCTGCAGATAAAGGGGTCAAGTGGTCCACTCAAAACTTTGAATACGGAGTAGAAACAAAACGAGACTCACAAGTGGCTTGCCGACCCAGTCATATTCATAATCAAAGACGTAGCCGTTCCTGTCAAACAGTTCAGTGAAGAGTTTCCGTAAGTAGTCATAATCAGGTTTCTCAAAGAAGTCCAGCCTCCTCACGTAGCGCAGATAGGTGGCCATCTCTTCTGCGGCGAAGGTCAAAGGCAGAAAATTATTTCATTTGCATAAACTGAACTAGAACTAAAGGAGTCATGAAGATTCCAAATCAAACCAATCAAACCAAAATGGCAGTACTGACCCGGGAAGCTTTCACAAAGCACTTCAATTGGCGTAGTTCGCTTGGTATCTCCAATCTTCTGATACCGCTCCTTCAATGTGTCCGCCTGTAATCAACAGACAGTACAACAATTATCCTCCCACGTTTTCAGCTTTAATTCACACAAAGCACAGTAGAGTTGAACAACTACAGCTTCGCAGAATGCATAATATAACAGCCACATTTGGGGCAATACATAGCTGGAGGAAGCGTAATTTAATGGGCATAATGTTTACATGTAGAATATTTAAGGTGTCTTAGTTTGCCTCCACATGCAGATCCTCTCTTAAGCCATTTTATATCTTGAGTCATCCCATCTATATATTTTATTTAACCTTTATTTAAATAGGCAAGACAATTAAGAACAAATTCTTATTTACAATAACTGCCTACCAAGAGGCAAAAGGCCTCCTGCGGGGACGGGGGATTAAAAATTAAAATGTAGGACAAAACACACATCACAACAAGACAGACACCATAACACTACATAAAGAGAGACCTTAGACAACAACACGGCATGGCAGCAACACAACATGACAACACGGTAGCAACACATGGCAGCAGCACAACATGGAAGCAGCACAAACATTGTTAGGCACAGACAACAGCACACAAATACATCACGCAAAGCAGCCACAAGTGTTAGTTAGTGTCCATGATTGAGTCTTTGAATGCAGAGATGAAGATAAAACTGTCCAGTTTCACTGTTTTTTTGCAGTTCGTTCCATTTACATTTACGTCATTTAGCAGACGCTCTTATCCAGAGCGACTTACAAATTGGTGCATTCACCCTATAGCCAGTGGGATAACCACTTTACACTTTTTTTATTATTAAATTTTTTTTAGGGGGGGGGGGGGGGTAGAAGGATTACTTTATCCTATCCCAGGTATTCCTTAAAGAGGTGGGGTTTCAAATGTCTCCGGAAGGTGGTGAGTGACTCCGCTGTCCTGGCGTCGTGAGGGAGCTTGTTCCACCATTGGGGTGCCAGTCGCTAGCTGCAGTGAACTGTAAAGAGGACTGTAAAGAGGAGCGACCCAGGGATGTGCTTTGAGGACCTTTAACAGAATGTGACTGGCAGAACGGTTGTTGTATGTGGAAGATGAGGTTTGCAGTAGGTATCTCAGATAGGGGGGGGGGTGAGGCCTAAGAGGGTTTTATAAATAAACATCAATCAGTGGGTCTTGCGTCAAGTATGCAGAGATGGCCAGTTTACAGAGGAGTATAGAGTGCAGTGATGTGTCCTATAACGAGCATTGGATATGAAACTGTTATTGGGGGGGGGGGGGGGGCCTTCAGAAAGTATTCACATCCCTTGACTTATTCCACATTTTGTTGTGTTACAGCCTGAATTTAAAATTGATTAAATATAGTTATTTTTTACACTGGCCTACATACAACACTACACAATGTCAAAGTGGAATTGTGTTTTTAGACATTTTTACAAATTCATTAAAAATAAAATCAATAATTATTCAACCCCTTTGTTATGGCAAGCCTAAATAAGTTCAGGAGTAAAAATGTGCTTCACAAGTCACATAATAAGTTGCATGGACTCACTATGTGTGCAATAATAGCATTTAACATGATTTTTGAACGACTACCTCATTTCTGTACCACACACATACAATTATCTGTAAGGTCCCTCAGTCGAGCAGTGAATTTAAAACAGATTCAACCACAAAGACCAGGGAGGTTTCCAATGCCTCGCAAAGAAGGGCACCTATTGATAGCAGTGTAAAAAAAAAAAAAAAAGCCAACATTGAATATCCCTTTGAGCATGGTGAAGTTATTCATTACACTTTAGATTGTGTATCAAGAGAGGAAGGAATCCGCTCAGGGATTTCACCTTGAAACCAATGGTGACTTTAAAATACTTAGTGTTTGATGGCTGTGATAGGAGAAAACTGAGGATGGATCAACAACATTGTAGTTACTCCACAATACTAACCTAATTGACAGAGTCAAAAGAAAGAAGTCTGTACAGGATAAAATATTCCAAAACATGCCTCCCCTTTGCACTAAAGTAAAACTGCATAAAATGTGGCAAATAAATGAACTGTCCTGAATACAAAGTGTTATGTTTGGGGCAAATCCAACACAACACATCACCGAGTACCACTTCATATTTATTTTCAAGCATGGTGGTGGCTGCATCATGTTATGGGTATGCTTGTCATCGGCAAGAACTAGGGAGTTTATGATAAATAGAAACGGAATAGAGCTAAGCACAGGCAAAATCCTAGAGGAACACCTGGCTCAATCTGCTTTCCAACAGACACTGGGAGACAAATTCACCTTTAAGCAAGACAATTGATGAGGATTTTTCAATAAACTATAAGATAGACAAAGTTAATCACAACATGACGAACACGGAGCCAGGGTTAAACATGGGTACATCGCTGTTGCTAGGCAATAACTTAATTAATACCTCTCACTGGGTTTGTGTGTGTGTGAAATGGGGATCTGACCTCGGGTCGAATTCCTCGCTCTTACCTATTCCAAGGCTGTCCTGATTTATCAGTGACTGAAACCAGAGTGTTATCCTTTGCCTCTATCCTAAGGCATATTACGGGAATGGAGTTAGGGTTGGGCGTCTTCTTGATTAATTACAGCATGACTACTATCATAGACTAAGGAAGTGGGCGGAGTGGTCAAGAGGGAGGGGTTAAGCTCAAATGTATGTGAAATGACTATATAAACTGAGAGCTGGGAGGTAGAAGGCAGATGCTTTGCAAACCACATCAACTTTGTCTATTGTAATAAAGTATATCTTAATTCTACAAAAACTCTGGATATACTTTGGTTCTTTGATCAGTATAAGGACAATTTTGCCACATCATAATTGGCGACCACGAAGGGACTGGAAAAATAGTCTAGTAGACAAGCAGGCTAGCAGACAGGCAGGCTAGTAGACAAGAAGTTTAAAAGAGTTCTGCTCATCCGGCGTAGGTGATCAGAAACGAAATAGAATAGCCGAAAGGGCTGCGCTACATAGAGACAGAGTGCTAGGTGGAGGGGTTTGAAGAAGCTGATTTGTAGCGATTGAGAATCATTAAAAACACGAATTGATTGGTTGATGTGAATATAGGACGATATGGTGAATTTTATGTGCGTGTAATAGATTACTAGAGATTTGATAAAGTAATAAGTGGAATAATATTTATATACTAACTTGCGTACCCAAAACGTAGACATACGGGAGGGGTGGGAAAGAATACATAGACAATTTGATAGAGATGAGGTTAAGCATTATATGACTGTCTCTCATTGCGGAGCTAAGGTGGTGTAGGAAAGGAATTTCATTATGTCACAAGGGAAAACATAATCCATTTGATTAAACTTGTTAGATCTGTTTCCAAATCAATGAATGTAGATTTGACTCATTGACTGCTAATTTCTTCTCTTTGAGCATGTGAGATCTTTGCAAAGAAACACTTGGACGACCTTTAAGGCAATATTTTGGTAATTCTGTTATATAACAGATGTTAAGCCTACAAACCATTGTAATTGGGATATTTGCGGGATTTACTTGTCATTTCAATAGACATAGGTTCTGTGTTACTGACTAAAATATGGGTTTCCGATTATAATTAGACTATGGCCATGGGTTGCTTAAATTAATTTGCAGCCAGTGTTTATTTTAAGATGTAAACTGAACGATTTAGCAGATCGCTCCGTTTAAATTGAAGGCTAAGTTATTGAACATGAATAGCGGAACGATTTAGAGGGAATAGTTTTTTTTTGTGTGGCCTAATGTTTTGCTAAAGGAACCTACTGGGAAATGGGGTTGTAATTTTAAATATTGAATGGAATATGGAAATTGAATATATGCTTGTAAACTACAGAAAGTGTTTGTTTTGTTACCTGTAGCTTAATCAGAAAGGACAGTTACCTACATTTACTGACTTCTAATAATAGCGGATTGGTAATTGCATAGAGCTGTGGCTATGATCTGAATGGATAACAAAGGAAAGTAAGTTCATAGGGAAGTTGAATTGGAAACGATCTTTGACCATTTCTAATTATTACTCAATTCTATAGTTTGCGTAACACCAGTGATTTATGCAAACAGTTAATGAATTCTAAAACAATAATCTGTTTCCGTTACGTGGAACAATGGTACAATTCGAAGGTACTATTTCGAAGGAAATAGTAATAACATAGAAGGTAGGAGAATTTAGGATACGAACTAGGCGTCCAGATATAGACAGGTAAAAGAGAAAAACTAAGAAGGAAAGTTAGGGAATGAATGCCAAGACGAAGATTAGAATGAGAACCAGCCGCATTTAAGTATACGATAAGGGGATATTCAATAGCGGAATACACAGTGACAGCAAACATAAAAATAAGAACATATGATATAGACATACTGAAAGACAGGAAAATAAGGTATAGGAAGATATATTAGGGATATCTGGAGTACAAAAATGGAAACGTAGGAATTTTTGAGAAAATAGTAACGTGAATATTATTAGGGGAAAATAGGGGTGGTCTAGCGACCCAAGACCGAATAGACCACTGGGAAAATACCTAAGGACAGAAGAGTGAGGGGGGTATCTTATTGGGAAATGAGATGAGAGAACAATACAATACAATAATATTAAGAGGATCACAAGGGATAAAAACGCATTTTTGGAAAGAAGCAGAGTATGAAGATATATTAGGGAGAAAGATACCATTAACTGAGGAATATAAAAACTTTTAGCTGAGCTCACTACAGAAATATTACTGACCCAACATCCTAACAGAGACACTGAACCAAAACATAAAGCTACAACAGCAATCTAGGATTGTGAAAGTTGTGAAGTTAGTTTTTTAAAACCCTACGATAGAGGTAAACGCAGAATGCTGTTAAGAGAGATGGGTAATGGTGCTTCGAGGGTGATTGTTTTCGATATGTGCAGAGAGTCCCTGGTTCAAGCCCAGGTAGGGACAGAAGCAAATCAAATCAAATTTTATTGGCCACATGCGCCGAATACAACAGGTGCAGACATTACAGTGAAATGCTTACTTACAGCCCTTAACCAACCGTGCATTTATTTTTAATAAAAAAGTAAAATAAAACAACAAAAAAGTGTTGAGAAAAAAAGAGCAGAAGTAAAATAAAATAACAGTAGGGAGGCTATATATACAGGGGGGTACCGGTGCAGAGTCAATGTGCGGGGGCACCGGCTAGTTGAGGT